GGGTACTCGGGACTCCGTCGCCTTCCGCCGCGCCCACCGAGAGCCGGCGGTCGGCCTGGCCCGGCCCAGCCCGGGCGAGGTGAGTGGCGTTTGCCGCCCTCGGTCCCCGCTCTGGCCCGGCCGCTGCTGGCCGCTGGCAGCGGAGCTGCGGGGACGGGAGCTCGGCGGGGATTGTGCCGCTGCCATCCGGTGTCCGCTGGCGGCGGGGCAGCCCGGAGCAGCGGCACCCGGAGCAGCCTCGCCCCGCATGTGTGCCTGTATGCACAGAGCGTGTGTGCCGTGGTGCGGTGCGCGGGGGCCTCAGGAGGTCTGGCAAGGCCAGGAACAAAGCACAGGGCAGGGGCACACACCCAGGTCGCCGCGGGGCTGTCGGCCGTGCCCCCGAGTAGTGACTGTTCCAGAACACCCGTGTTGCTGTGAACCCTCTGGGCCGGCAACACCGCAGAGCTGAGGTCGCTGCTCACTGTTACTGTAAGGACACCTTAGAGGTGAGCAATGCATAAATACCAACAGTCTGCCTGTTTCCAGTAATTTATATGTTGTCACATGCAGAACCACACCAGTTAAAGTCTTTATAAAAACTTAGAACGGTACAGATTTTGTGTAACAGTCATAGCTCAGTTTCAGTACGTCTGGTTTAGCTTAATGTATTTTCCAGATTGAGACAAGCCAAAGCAAGATGAATTGGTGCCCATTTGAACAAATCTGTGGGTTTCTTGAGACTTCTTTAAGTGATTTAGTTGATTATGCACATTTTTTTTATACACATCTGAGTGGGTGGTAATGTCTCGTAAGGAGCTGGTGATAGCAGTCTCCTCACTTGGCTCAACTCCACCTAGGACAGCAACACTTAATTTCTGCTGTCATTCTTAAATGCCCCAAGTCACTTATTAATATAGTTTAGATTCCTCAGTTATAAGGGTTTAAAATAAAGGCTGCTCAAATTGCTGGGAGATTTTAATTACCTGCTTACTTTGTGTTTGTGGACCTCAAGGAAAGTGAATCTTGTGTGAAAGTCTTGCTGGGTGTGGATTGCTGGAGGAAGAACAGGGAAGAGGATGCCAGGAAGGGAGGGGAAGAAATATGCAAAAGACATGGAAGGATCTTTGGTGAAGGATGTCCTGTTGTGGCAGCCTGACATGGAGCTGGGCAGAGAGGGGTAGGGAACACAGTCTTTCCCTTTGAGGATTTTTCAGATCTTTTTTTGATTTGTTTTTAATATTGGTGTTGATGAGGTGAACTGAAATTAATTAACTTCCTTTAGTGACACACCCTGTTACCCTGATAAACCGCTGTCTATCTTGAGTGTCCATGCACTCCTCCACATCTGCCTTCAGCAAAAGAACTGGTATTTCTGCCACTACTTTTGTAAGAGTCATCAAACCAACTCTCCATGTGCCTGTGCTGGGACAAGATGGGCTTGATTTTGATGCAGTCTTGGCTTGTGGGTGTTCGCCTTTCAGGAGGTAACATAGGCTGGGTTGGTGTTGCAGGGAAGCTGGTGAGGGATGTGGCTGCACACAGCTAGGTTTGCCTTTCCTCTTGGGTGGCAGCAGGTTCTTGCTGTCTGTAGGGAGGGAAGGAAACATGCCAGTCTTCCAGCAAAGAAGCATTTCTGTGCTGCGTCTGGGGAAAGCCTCCTGGCAGTGCTGTGCTGCAGCACCACTGATTTTGAATAATTAAGGGTCTTATTTTGGTTTTCTGGTGGTTTTGAGACACCAAGGTGAAAAAGCAGAGGTTTCCATCATGGTTTATGTATTTTGGAGAGCTTTCAGTAGGCAGGAAGTTATGGTTTGTCTCTAGGACTGACACAAACAGATTTAACATGCTTCTGGTCTCCCCTTAGAAACTGGTCGGCAGATGTGGCTGGGTATGGTGCTGTAACATTTGAAGCTGTGTACTGAGCAGGTGTTAAAGGCCTCTAATTCAACACATTATAGAAATTGCTCACTAATATGGGTTGGGTTTTCTTTGTGCAAAAAAAATGAAGTTGGAAAGTGAAGTACCTTATTTATTATGTGATACAGATTTATCCTGCTCAGTCGTTCCAAGTTGGCATTCTAATCTGTTCTTTTGCAAAGGTGAGGCATTGCCTGCTAATTAGTGTAATTAAATGGGTCGGTTTTAAATGAGAACTCACTGAAAAGTTATATGCTCTGTAGACTATTCAGTTATTTTTATTCCTTTGCTCAAATATGCAGGCACAGGGGAACATTTTGTATATGTTTCAAGCAATTACTTAGAATTTGTTAGTTGGTCCACTAAGAAATTCTGTGTGCTTGAGCTAGGCCTGTACTTTCTGTAGTAGGTCTTCATCCTCCTGTGAGGGGGAACAATCCTTTTTTTATCTCTGTCTATTTGTGTAGCAAGCAGAGGAGAGTGATCCCCACATGCTGCCCCTGCAAGGCACCGTTACATCGGTTGCGTGAGGCCTGGTTGTCTGTTAACAGTCCTTGGCACTGGGATACCGCCTGTGTAAAGCCTGCCTTCCCCAGCTTGTGCCAAAGAAAACGGATAAAGCTGAGCAGGACAACTTCTAAAGCTGCAGTGGATGTGGTTTTGGTAGGTTGAAGGGGTGCTTCTACTGCTGGGGAGGCCCAGTCTCAGATAAACTGGAGCATTGGAGCTGCTTTCCTTGAGGGGTGACATATTCAGCAGGAGTGTGGTGCTGCCTTCTGCCATTGCTGGCCTCCATCCCCAGCTGCTCTGCCACAGCTGCATGGGGACATGGTGTGAACCAGATCTGGAAATTTCTGAAATATAGCATGGCATGAAAAATGGAGGGCGTAAAAAAGGATTATCTCCTTGGTAATGTTGGTGGTGAGGATTTAGGCTGTGAGTGAGAATTTAGGCTGTGAGACTGCAGTGGCTCCAGACCTGCCACAAAATGTTGTGGAGATTCAAAACATATCCTTGGAGATGTGGAACATCCTCCAAGAGTCCCTTCCCCAGGGGAAGGGATCTATAATCGTAAAAAGCCGTTGTTGAGTATCAGAGATCTGTGAGAGAACTGAGGATGGAAATTTGGCTCTCACTCATTTGCATTGATCTGTTACCTGCTGTGTTGTCTAAAAGAGGGAATGGTTTAGAAATCCCTCAGCCAAGTTCCATTTGTCTCAGCTGGATGTGTGCCCTTGACTTAAACTTGACTAAGCTGTTCTATCTCATAGCTTTCAAAGCTGTCACACGTGTCCTTCCCTGAGGTGGTGTGCCTTGAGATGGAAGTCATCTCCATGTGCTGGCAGAGCTGAGTTAACAGTGAAGATGCTACTGAAGCCTGTCAAGGGAGCTTTGTCTACAGGAATCCTGTTGCAGGTTCAGAAACATTGAGATTGGTTTTTTGGGAGATGTTTCTCTGCTTTTATACTTTTTCCTTTATATTTGGTGTTGGAGGTGATAGGATTTGCCTTGAAGATGAATGAGCAAGAACATGCCAGGCTTGTGTTCTGTGTGGACAGTGGCTGGAGTGGGCACTGCATGGGACAGCCTTTGAATAAGCTCTTATAACCTACACAGCAGAGAAGTTGCCAATTCTATACTTCTCATTTAAGGATGGTGTAAATGATTTTCTGTATTGCAGACCTAAGAGAAAAGAAAAAAAAAGGAGAAAAGAAGTCTGGATTGCAACTGAGCTTTTAATTTGATTGTATTTGTATCAAATATTTAGTTGTCCTGATATTGAGAGTCTCAATTCCTGCTTTTTCTTTCTTGACAGACACTGCAGCAATACAGACTTTGGCATGTCTCTTGCAGCTTCCGATTGATCCCTACCTCGAAGGCAGTCAGTGAAAATCTTGGAGCTGCTTCTTATCTTTTTTTGGGCACAGTGAGAGAATAGTGATGTGGGTGGTTTTTACAGCAAAAGTCAGTGTCAGTCTTTGTGTTAGCCATGGGACCCAGCCTATGAGACCTGCTTGTCCCTCTGTCCTCTGAGAAGTTTGTGGTGCTGGTCAGGCAATCCCTCAGAAAGTGGTGGGGGATGACATCTCCTTCGCTATAGGTGAAAGGCATTGAAGAGCAGTTCCCAGGTGATGGCCACTATTAGTATTGATTTGCCTTTTGTGTGTCCTGAATAAGGTTTCTTCCATGATCTGTTCCATGAAATGATGGAAGGCACCAAAAAGTCACATAAAGCAGTCCACACATTTATAGTCTGTTCCAGGAGAGTTAACTGCTTCTACCCAGTCTGTGCTATTACCTGTAGGGTTTTAGCTGTTTGAGACTTGCTGATTTTGGGCTCTTTGCTCCAGTTCCCTTCTGTGCAGCTAGATGGTTGCAGTAATTTATGATTTATTGTTTCATGCTGGAGAAAGTCAAGAGGTAGAAGATGGTTCTGTTCAGGAGAGCAAGTTGTTAAAAGCTTATGCCCTTTCTGAAAGAACGTGTGTTCAAGTTGGCACATCCCATACAATTTCTGGTCATTTTTTGAGTTACTTGTCTCAAGATACTCCTTTCAGGTTTGTAAAAGAATTTTGTACTTGTCAAAGCACTAATATCTCAAGGGTAGAATCAAAGGAGAGCTGGCAGCAGGCTTGAGGCCATTTCTCCCAAGAGGGAAGTCTGAGTCCAGTTCCAAAAGTCAAGGGAAAGAAAATAAAAGGTGGGAGTCTCATTAATATTTAAAAACTATCTAAGCACAGTTAATGATAACTCTTCCAAATGAGTCACTTATTGTTGTAATGTAACAAACACAAGCAGCACTCTGAACCTAATAATGCTGCTTAGATAAAAAATAGTTCTTCATGTTTTCATAGTGACAGTGTGTCTCCCAAAGTACAGCAGAACATCTTGGAGAAATTCAGAGCCCAGAGCAGCCAGGTCCTGGAACTACTGCTCCATCATGACCTGTCTTTTCAGAAGCACCTGGATGCCTGACTTGGAAACTGTAGGGGCTTCACTTGATTCAAGTAATTCTGCTACAGACAGGCTTGCTACCCGATACCATCTTACAAAAAACTTACTTTTGGTATGGAACCATACTGTGGGTCTGGTTGAGGTGACTTTAACCTGGATTTAGCAATGTTTACAAATTCTGTATAGATGACTTTGCAATTCTGGTGTTGCACTGGGAGTCTTGTTGGGGGGGAGTGTCTGCTGCCTTCACATGGTGTGTTTCTCTGTGAGGAAATCTTATTGCGTGGGTCATTTTTAGGAGGTGCATTAGATGAACACTTCTTTCCACTAAACAAAAGGAATGTCATCATTGGAAATTACAGCAGTCCTCCTTATCCTAAGGCAAGATCTAGGACATGCTGTCACAGTCTTTCTCACGCTTTTAGGTATGATTGTTTAGCCAGTCTCAGAAAGAATAAGGAATTGGTTGTTCTGTATGCTCAGTTTCTAGCTTTATCAGTCTGGCAGATCAAGTTCTATACAGATGGTTGGGTGGAGTTTAATGGTACTTTTGTCTTTCTGGTGTTTACATACTCATTTGAAAATTAGGAATAAAGTTTAGAACTGAAGGAAAAGTAGGAAGAAAAAGTTTACCAGAAGAGATGGCACTAGTGAATCTTTGAAGCTTGTGGGAGATTGACCACATTTTAAAATGCATTACCCAGGGACTGTGGGGTTTTTGAAAAATAATGAATACTGGCATTGGAGCATGGTATCTAACTTTGGCTAGTATGATCTTCAAGTAAGCAGAAGGCCTGAAGTCAATTCATGCTATGCATTCCTCAGATATGTGTCTTTAGGATACAAGAGGCAGTGATAACTTCATATTTGAGAGTTCAGAGAACAAATGCTTTATCTTGGCCTTGGGGTACTTTGGGGTTGGATTCTTTTGGGTTCGCTATCCCTTGCAACAATTACAACTTTGTGCTTTGTTACATGAAAATATTGATTGTGGAGCAAAGAGAAAAAAAAGAGTTCTAGAGGTTTTTCTTCAGAACTAAGCCATTGCTACATCTTGCAAATAAATGTATGGTTAGCTTAGGGTGCAACTTAATGAGCAGTTTCTAGTTTAGGAGGTGGCTTGTCTAATGCCTGCCTGCGGCATAGGCAGCGGGAGTATGCTGTATATTCTTCTCTAAAGATCCTACTGTTTCAGCCATGAGGTAATCATACCGAAAAGTGGAGTATGGCAAGGTGATACTTTGGGCAGTCAGTGTGACTGGGGGGTGTGAGGCACTGGGTCAGGCATGTGGGTGCACACTACCTCAGATAGTGCCTTAAAGCTTGCGTGTTTTTCTCCCTTTTCAATTTCAGTTCATTAGGCAAAATATTTAGTTAAAGGAATTATTTAAGCTCTGGGAGTGTCAAAAAAGCCATACTTTGCTAGCTCAGACTAGTTTTCTGTCTCCCTGAGTGTCTGAACAAATAAATACAGAAAATACCATTGCATATGTAGAGTGCCATTGACCTGGGTGTATTCTTTCAGTTTCAAATGGAGGGTTGTTCATTAACTTTAGAGCTGTTGATAGATCTGTTTTTGCATCTATATTTCTGGCCTTTAAAGCATTTTGTGGTAATTAAAAGCTATTGGCATGCGTATGTGGTCCAAACTTCAGTTTTTAACCAGTTAAAAACCAGTTACCCAATAATTTCATTCTGCTTTAATCCTTTGTGTTTGCTAAATAATGAACAATCATTTCATTCCTATTCACCAGTCACATTACTGGTGAGTTTGTATGTACATTTTCATCACTTCATTTTGGAGTTCCTAGGGGTTTTTTTGCATTCTTTCATAGCTTTTATGAGAAGGGTTTCCCAGAGAAGGGTTTCTTCAGGAGTCAGGAGCTGCACTTTGTCATAGTGCATCCACTGTATGTTTAGTGTTTGTCTACTTAGTAGGTTATTAGCAGGTGAAGTACAACTGAAGTGATCTTTTGTACCTGGTTTGATTTGAATGAAGTATGTGATGAGCTTGCAGTTAAGATTTGATGGAGAAGCTAAAACTTATGAGAAGTCTGCAACCATGCAAAATTTTTGGTGTATATGACAAATTTGAGCTTCAGTGTATATGAAGCTCAAGATATAACTTGATGCAAAAACGTTTTCCTTTACAAACTTTATTTTTAAAGCTGTCTGTTTCTCCCCTCTATCATCTACAGCATTCAACACATACTGTGTTTTTCATTGCTGCAGCTTGTGAGTTTATTAGCATTTAACAGCAAGTTGAATAGAAAGCATTACAAAATGGAGAGAAAAATGGAACAATGATCAAATATTTAAATCTTTATAAAGAAAATATACTGTGTTTTAAGAACAGCAGCTAGAGAAAAAAAGGTTGCTTGCCTTAAAATTGGTATTGGAAGTTTACCTTTTAAATACAACATCCTGAAAATATACCTCACCCTAACTTCAAAGCTTATAGTACTACACATGTTAAAAAAAATTTCCTGTTGCAATTTGTAATCAGAAATTATATAGTAAATTATATAATTTTTACAGCTTCGAGAAACTCATAAACACGTGAGAGAAGATGACAAGATCTAGATCAAGATCACCACGATGGAAACCAAGGTAAGTATCTACAGCTTATGTTCTGAAATGTAGCTCTATACAAGGATTTATAACTAGGACCTAAAACTTTCATTAAAGAAATAAAACTGCATGCAGAATTGCAATTTTTAAAGTGTGTTTTATTATTTATAAGTTATTGTACAAGCTGAACACCTGTAATTTTTTTCCCAGCTCATGATTTTGTTGAAATTTCTTTTAAGCTGGAAGTATTCAGTTTTTTGCAGACTGCCAAGAACCTTATTCCTCTTTTGTGTTGTGGGATTTACAATTACCTTAAGCACAAATTCCAAGTCCCAAACTAGCTATTTTTACACAAGCACCACCTTGAGCACTGGATATCTGTAACTTGCTTTTGTTTTGCTTCTTGGGCTACAGGGAGGAATTGTTCTAAAAAAATTGGAAGGTTTTTTTTAAAAAAAACAAAACTAAGTTCAAACACCTCAGACTTACTGAAGTTTGGGGCTGATTTGTAAACTGATCTTTAGCACAGTTAGACATGCCTTGCAGCGTAACAGAGTGAAAACATGTGGAAATGTGGGAGTTGTTGCCCTTCTCCTTGGACATTAGCCTAGTGACGTTTGTCACCAGAATAACATCCAGCTTACTTCATGCTGTGAGTTACCTGCCTCATTTTTAAGACTTGCAGTGCAAATTTGAGGTGCTAAAACCAAGAGGGTGGAATACAATTTCAAGCTTTTAAGAATGTGGAATTAGTGCTGGTTTTGGGTATCTCTTCAAAACAGACTAAGTTGTGATAACCAAGACAAGGGAGTTCAGATAAATCAGAAAAATGTGTGGGTTTTTTTATTTGTTTATTTTGTATTTAAAAAGAGAAATCCTACCTATGTCTGTACTAGATTGATAGCTGTGAATGTCATTTGAGTAAGGGCAGCCCCAGCTCACATTAAAATGTAAGCCCTAACCAGACCTATGTGGGACAGCAGCTGCAGTGTAGGTGCTGTTGGAAGTAAGCTATTATGGTTTTAGGAACATCTGTGGTTCTGAGTTTGAACTCATTTGCAGAAATGGAGTAAATAGTTATGTCAAACTGTTCATTTGCAATTTGTGCACAGAGGAAGTGGCTTATTTCAACTTGTGTTTTGATGGTTTTTATTAAAGAGTTTGTCAAGAGTGTGCAGTGAATACTTGAACACAAGCAGAACTGTTATGTCTGGGATTACTTTTGGGTTCTTCGTGTCCTGTGCTGTTTCTTCTTCATTTTAAGGAGATTTTGGCTATAACTCCCTCATTTTTGTAACTGTAGGTGAAAATGCAGAGCTGAGTGATGCAATTGGATCTTTAATTGCAAAAGCTGCAGTAAGTGTGGAAGTGTGTGTATACATGTGTGAACATGTACATACAATTATCCAAAAGACCAAAGCATCTTTCTCAAACTTGTTTTTTTTCTGCAAGAAAAAGCCTACCTATATGACAATTTAAATATATTTTGTAATGTTTCAATCTTTCAGTTTTGAAGGTTGATTCAGCATGCAAAGAAAACCTTTTTCCTTCCCTTTCAAATTTCTTTAGACACGTTTTTTTCCTTCCCTTTTTTCTCTTTGCCCTGGAAAAGATAGGGAATGCTTGAGAAGTGTGAAAATATGTATAACAGTTGTTCTCAATGTAGTGGAAACTTCATGTATATGAAATTATTTTTAGTTTTAAATAAAAAACTTCATGGAGACAAAAATGATTGACTTACTACAATTTCAAGTGGGTATTTTTACTATGAAAACTTTCAACAGGGTAAAAGTAAGCCTGGTACTCAGCCAGAAAAATGCCACTTCAATATCTTGGTGTTAATTTTTTTACAAGCTGATTAAAATTATGTACTAACTCTACTTCCTTAGGAAATAGATGTTCTCATTAAGAAATTGGTTCAATTTTATGGAACTACTCAAAGTGGATTTTATTTTTGCTTTAGGTCCTTATCTCCAGCTTTTAGGACTCCAGAGCACCACAGGCAAAGGCATGATCATATTAATTATGACTGTGAATATAAAAGCTTTCGTAAGGATCCAAAAAAGTCTATGCCTTGGAGAACAGAAGATGAAAAGTATGGACAAAGCAATTCCAGGTTTGCACCTCATGGAAATAACCACCAGAGAATATATCAACGTAGGTCACCTTCACCAAACCTGAAAAGAATTCCCATGGAAGATGCTTACAGTCATAAGCCCTACAGAACACATTCATCTGAAAGGACTGAAAGTAATAGGAGATGCCAGTTACCACCAAAATACTCGGAAATACCTTATAAAGATCACGATCGTCCATTTTACCAGCACAAGATGGAGGACAGATACATGTTTGATCACTACAAAGTCACTGGTAATGAAAAAGGAATGAAACCTTTTCATAGACCATTAGGGGCTTCTTGCAAACTTGAAAGAAAATGGCATGAAGATGACTTGAGGCACCAGAGGTTACATGAAGAGAAGTATGGTCAGTCACCCAGAAGAGTTTCTGATGAATTTACGGCAAGGAGCTCTTTACAGAAGAGGTATAGGAATAAAATAATTAAACCCTGGGTATTGTGGTGTAAAGCCTCAAGTGAAAGTCTGTTTTCATTATAGTTGAAGATATCCACCTTGAAACACGTTGGCCACTTTGTAGTTTAATTATGGGCGACTGGTAGTAGTGAAGTATTTGTCTTTTAAGTAAATCGTATTGCTGGCTAGAGTATGAAAGGATAATATTTCCCTCTTAAGAGCCCCTGCACATCTGTACCTTGGCGTGAGGGATTATGGGTTAACTTGCCACGCATTCTGCTGTCCAACATTCTGCACATATAAGTTCTCGCTTTCTTCTCTAGTGCAAGTGTAAATTGCTTTATGTCAACACAGGTATCCTGAAGATCACGATTACAGAGAATATGGGCACGCGTCTAAAAGGGCTAAGGAAATGGAGAGGTATGACGGTGGAGATGTAGCAAGAAATTCCGAGTGGAAGCAAGAACGTTCTTTTCCACCCTGCCAAGAAAAGGAGGAGCAAAGATACCCGGGTGGCCAGTCCCGCCGGTCGGCTGAGAGGGAGTACTTGGGGGGGTCTGTCACAAAGATAGCCTATGAGTACAGTCACAAACGGCGCAGGCATCCCGACGGGGAAAAGCCTTTTCCAGACGACAGAGCTCAGAAGTACGTGAAGCAGGAAGAGCAGAAGTACGGCTCTTCCAAGGGGGCCCGGAACAGCAAGGAGTTAGATTACTTTAGTGGTGGCAGAGCGAGGCGGACTGAAGAACGGCACGTTGAGGAACCTCTTAAATACAGTTCAAAGAAGGGCTGCAATGCTTGTGTTAACTCTTCCAAAACGGATGTTGAGCTGAGATCTTTTAAAAACAAACTGAATGAAAGAGTGAGGAAAGATGGGGAATTGAGGAAAAATGTAGATTCCTCCAATAGCCAGCATGATGCAAGTCATACTGTTTCAGATGTGAAAATGTCAGATGCCAGCTGTATGAGAGAACATCTCACAGTCAAAGTGGATATGAAGAAAATGGTGACCAAGTACAGGTATTGGTTTTCTTTCACCTCTGCTTTCTTCCTGTCTTATTTACAGTTTGTGAACATTGGAGGGAAGCATGGTTTCTTTAGGAGCTAACCAGGACAAACTATGATTGTACCTTTTTAGTTTCATTTCTTCTAAAATGGTAACTTTCCTGTTAAGAACTTCCCTGCAAGTTAACTATTAAACCTCTATTAAAATAAACAAATAAAACCAACAAAAAAACCCCAACACTGTTTTATGGAGTTGCAGGAAGTGGAAAAAGTAGATATGCCTGATACAAACCTGTAGTTAGAAGTTAGTTATGATAAGTAAATGTGTTTCTATTAAAAAAAAAATCCTCAAAAAACCAAAACCCAAATGCAGAAAAGCCTAGTCCTGTGCTTTCATCTGAAATACAATGGCATTTTTTCAAACTGTCTTCCCTTCTTTTTTCTAAAAATCAGCTAACCTTTAAATACATAAATCTCAAGCAGATATTCAGATGTTCAAGATCTCAAGTTCAGTAAAACTGCTAAAAATGAGATATCTGAGTTGTCATTTATTGTTATAACAAAGTGGCAACCTGTTGAGGCATCAGAACTGAAAAGCAGTAGAGTCTGCTTCCAAATGTCTTCTGTGTAATACTTGTGTTTGCATTTAGCATTCCCAGTGCTGGCTGCAGTGGAAGAAAAAGTGGCAGTACTATAAAATTTTAGATGATAAATACATGGTAGAGAGTAAGCAGCTTGGTTTTGATAGATTCTTGTAGGGTTTTCTGGTTTTCTTGCTGTTGCAGGCCAGAATATTTTATATAGGTAGTAATTGCTTTTGGAAGAGATTACCTTTCTTTCCAAAATGATCAGCTTTCATTTTAAAGGTATTTTGCCTCTTGTCCCAAATAAAACATCTATATAAATTTTATTCTCTGCACTATTTCAAAAACATGTAATACAATGGAGAGTTACAAAGACAAGTTACTGCACTTAAGGGGCTAATATTAAAGACTGAGGAAAGGGAGGTGGAGTAATGCCCATTACCTACAGCTGGGCTAGGATGAGGATTTGACTTGCTAAATGATAATGTAAGGAAAATCTTTGGGTTTTGTTGCTAACCCATAGGATGATTCCTCTATCTTAGAGCCTCTTGCTGCTGTTTTTGAAGGTCATGCACAATGGACGTGGTAGCTGTTTGCAGACCAAAGAAACTACTGCATTGATTACAGCTAATTTACTGTATGGAGGGTTTGCTTCTGAAGCCAAAAGTGCTAAACATTTTATTTTTTCTAAGATAAGAACACTAATTTTACGGAAGCTGATGACTTGGAATATTCATGCTGCCTACTTTAGGCATTTAAGAAACACCCGACTTGAAATGACTCAGCTAAGAAGAATAGTTTCTTTATAAACCTGGGATCAGGTAGATAATTCAAATATCCAAACCTGAGGTTGCTTGGATTTCTTCTTGCATGTATTTATTCCCAGTTTTCTAGGGGAAAATAGATGATTTCTAGCATCTGCTAGAGGCTATTTCTGATAGAATTTTTGTATGGAATTCTAGACTTGTGTGCTTCTAATGCAGTGGGGCCAGGCACATAATCACTTTGCAGAATGAACAATTGAAAGTCTTCATCCTGAAAGCTTTTACATGTGCTCTTAGAGTCCTTAATTTATCTTTTAGAATGACAAGCATTTTCCTTGCAGCAAGAACAGTAGGGTTGTTGAAGTGTTGGCTTTCTTGTCAAAATAATTTTTGAGCAGAAGTACAACCATTTGGGGTGTAAACTTTAGAATGAGTAAAAATTTACAAAAAGATGGTAAGCACGTTCTTGAGTTCACACACTGCTACTGAAGTTTCACTGCTGTTTCACTAGGCTGAAGAGATGATTCAGTTCCTAAAGATGTGAGACATTTTTTATCTCTGAACTGTTCTAGAAAATTGCGTGGTAGCTCCTTATAAACAAGACACCGGCATAATTGCCTTTCAGAATTTTTCTAAAGAAGTCTATCAGGATCTTAATTTTATCTAGATTTGATAATCTAGTTGAATTAAATTTAAAAGTCACAGTTTTTGTATTGCATGCTTCACAGAAACAAAGATTCCTGAGAGTGAAGTTATATCTTCATATTTTATTATAGATTTTTCTTCCTTTATGGCCTTACTAGTTTTTTAATTTAAAAAAGAAATAAAATGAGATTTTTGCTTTTAATCACATTTATTCTTAAAATGAACTTCTTAGTTTGTTTTGTTCTACTTGTCTATTTCAAGGTTTCAGATTTAGATATTTGCTTTAAGATAAACTTTTTTTTTTTTTTATTCTAGGACTTCTAGTCACACTACAGAGAGACAGATGTCCCATGATCTGGTTGCTGTTGGCAGAAAAAAAGAAAATTTTCATCCAGTGTTTGAGCACATGGAATCTGTAACACAAAACATTGAAAATGACCCATCAAAAGAATTCACTCAGGAAATAATCACAATTATTCATCAAGTGAAAGGTGTCTGTAATATTTGGAGTATATGTATGTGTTTATGTATATATGATTACTAAACCCAAAGCTGATGGTTTAGATATGATGTCCCTGTAAGTTTCAGGTGTTTGCCATTGGCTTCATTTGTATTTTGGCTTCCTTTTGTATTGTTTAAAGGAAAATGTAGGTTGTGGATTTAAAGTAGTTGGGTGGTGGATGCCTGCAGGAAGGTCTCAGGCCATAACTGAGGCATTATTGTGGAGATTAAAGACCAAAATGATTTTTTGCTAGCATGAGCGGGTAACCTGCTTGTAGGAAACGTGACAGGAATAAAGGAGCTTTGCTGTAATCACAGCTCTCTAGTTATGTATCGTTCCTTTTCCTTTCCAGATTAGTGTTTATGCAGATGCATCATGTTCAGTGTTGAGCTTTATCAATTCTAGTAATTTGAGTACTACCATGCTATCATTTGCTGACAATTGAGTTTAATCTTATCAAATAAGGTTGTCTAAGTTGGGCTGGCCTAATCTTTCATTTGTGAATATTAAACTGAAAGTGGAAATAGTTTGTAATTTCATTTCAGTAGAGTTATCATGGTATCCTTAAGAATTAGTCTTTAAAAAAATAGATTTTCCCATTGTACATTTCAAATACTACAAATAACATTCTTGTATTTAATATCTCTTCACAGCAAATTATTTTACATCTTCTGACATAACTCTACATGAACGGTTCTCAAAAATTCAGGATAAATCAAGTGCAAATACAAATGAAGTTAAAAGACATTTGGATCCAGAAATTCACAGGTACTTGTTTGTCTTAATTTATTTGCACTTAGGGTAGTTAATCTTGAGTAGACTTAACACAGTGTGAAGTTTTTATTCATTATTTTTATCTGCCTGTATCTTTGAAACACTCTGTAGCCTGGTCAAGAGTGCTTCTGCCTTTATAGTGATGGCATTTGTTTTTATTCAGTATTTTTGTGTTCCAGGAGGATTGACATGTCTCTAGCAGAACTTCAGAACAAACGAACTGTGCCATCTGAATCTCCCCAGGTACCTTGATTGCTTAACTTTTTTGGCAAGCAGTAAGTTATTATTACAGATATATTATAGATATAAGCAATGTTTTCCCCTTGCTACTGGGACATCATTTTTACATGCTGTGAAGACCAGCAGTAATTCTGAGTATTTTGAAAAACATGCACACCCAAGCATATTTACAGATACCACAGTGATGCAAATGTACTGTGATCACTAAGCAGTAAAATGCAGATGTGTTCTCCAGAGTAGCTGGAGTGTGATTATTCCTGCTGCTTGAACCCCTGTCTGTTTTTAAATAATACTCAGTAAATACTGAGTCTGTGATTGATGTGTGGTTCTTGGTTTCCCTCTGAGGTTACAAAAAGCCTTAATGTTTCTTCTACCCTAATGTTACAGTGACTCAAATTCCACATAATTCCTCAGAATGCTATTTTATCCCTTGATTTCATCTGGGGTCATAAGATTTTCTGTCTTCCCCTTTAAAGCTCTGGTTGCTATGCTTTAGTCACCATTCCTTTTCTATAGTACAGGTACATGGAGATTCTGCTTGATTAAGGACAGTAGAACTTCTTGAGATTTACTGAAACTTAGATGAATATTTCTGCCTTGGCAACACCATGCAGAATTCCAGTGCTCTGTTCACTGTTGTTTAGAAACTTGTAAAAAAGCAGATGGTGCAAGGAAGGATAATTGCTTAGAACCACTTCTTATTGCTTTAGACTTTGGATCCTTGGGTTGATGTGAACCTGTCCTAAGTGCAGACATCTGAACTGTGTTAACAGGTTATGTACAGGGTGCTGCCCCTGAAGGACAGAATCAGGTTGATGTTCAGTTCTTAGCAGCTAACTTGCCTTCAACCCTTCCTTTTAACTAGAACATTGTAAGAGTGTTAGAAGATCCAAATGATCTACGGTATGATATAGAAAGGAGAAGAAAAGAGAGATTGAAGAATGAAGATGAGAGAGTGTTTCATGTAGATGGTGTAACTCCAAGGTAATAAGCAAATAATCTTGTTGGCCCAAGCCTATAGTTCCCCTGTGAGCTCATTTTTGGGCCCTTCCACAGTTACATTCACATTTGTGGTGATTCTTTTCCACAGTCAGGCCTTAAAAGTTTGACTGGGGCTGAAATTCAGCTGACATACTTTGCAAACTACTTGTAATGAGATGTTACCTTGAAAGAGGTTAAACTGCAGTGGGTAAAAATGAAAAGCAAGCACAAACTGTAGCTCTGAATGAGAAGAGAGGACAAAGTTAGTTTGAAGAAGTTTTAAGTATTTTTAAACTCCTCAATGTGCCATGTAACAACATTCTCCTGGTATTTTGCATTTCTGTAAAAGCATTCTAGGATTAATATATTGTTTTGTTGCCCTACTGGTTTGGTAATAAAATGTGGAACATCTGAGAATAACTGGAATTTTTCTGATTCTTGGACAATTTGAAAACTTGTATTTTTGGAATAGCATTTTACTCCTATGGATTCCTCCAAGAGGTTTGTTAAAAGTTTTTGCCCCAAAGGTGTTTGCTAACCTCAGTCATCTTGTTTCACTTTTGATGTTGTGAGGTCAGTTGATTAGGGAGAGGGACTTTTAGTAGAAATGTTGATTAATGAATTTCCAGAGTGTAATGAAACAAAAAAAGTTAAGGTTAACTGGTGGAGGAAAAAAATCTCTGGACTTGCTTCATTTCCCCCAGCACACTTCCTCAGTTACTGTCCTGCTTATCTTTTGTGAGATGTGTAAATTGCTCTACCAAGTCTGGCTGCCCTGGAGTTGGTTGTCAGAGGTTCCACTGTCAGGGTAATGTGGGCTGAGGGCAGCAATGATGTGAATGATATGTAGAATTTTCCTGAGACTGAGAGGTTTTAATATGAGATCATATTAAATGAGATTTAATATGAGATCTTCACATGAGATACTGGCAGTGCCTCTGAGATTATTAAGTGTGCTGCTGGTTTTTTCCTTAGCTTATTTTGTAGCTATGAGAACTGTTTCTGTGCGATTTGTAAAACACAAATTCTGACTTCTGGTGGTTACTTTTCATGGGAAACGTTTTATTTAGAAGTTTATGGATGCATCTGTATTAGCAACATTCTTGGTAAGAAAAAAAATCAAAGCAAATAAACAAAAAAAACCAACCAAAACCACAAAAACGAGCAGGCAAAAGCCCAAAGCCAGAATCAGCTGCCTGCTGAGGATGAAACCGGAGGATGTAGCTGTCTCTCTAGAGCTCCTGTGGGACCAGGAATGTCAGGGAAGGTGCGGAGGGTGCAGAAAGCGTTTCCACCAGCGGAGGGCAGCAGTGACCGGCCGGCAGCGCTCAGCCCGGGGAGCCTGGCTCCGCAGCCGCATAAGAGACTACAGATTGCTGTGCAATTCTGTGCAATTTGAGCTTGGAATAGGAATTTTTTGATTGTCCTAGGAAAATTTATTTTTAAGCTGTTTCTTTGCACTTGTGGTACAGATGCTTGAATTAGGTAGCTTAAAATAGAGGATGTTGATATGTTGTGGTTTTAGATAGTAATTGTTCTCACTCTCTCTCTCACACATCAGGAACCAGCAAAGCTGCAATCTTTCAAAGTTACAAACATCTCAAGTTGATGGTTTCCAAAAGCCTGTGAGGTTCATTAAGCCACCTTTGAGGAAATTTATTGGGAGACCTCATCTGGTAAGCCTAAATGTAGAAATAGTAGCTCCTGCACTGTTGATGTATAATTCATATTTTGCTGCATTGTCGATGCTGATGTAAATTTAACAATCTGTGATGTCTTGCCCTTTTAAATTTTGAGTGAAGCTTCTCTATCTTCTGTCTGTGCTCAACAATAAAACTACTTATAATTTCAGTTCTAGTGCAAGAGTACTTCCTTGGATAT